AGTCATCTTTTAATGAAGCTGATTTATTGAACCCACCATTAGCTTAAAATTAATGTAATGAACAAAGGGAGTGAGATGGGGCAGGAGGCAGATTGATTTGGATATTTACTCTCAAGTATCCTCTTAATGAACGCTGCCCCAGGGACACATTAGTGTTAGTGTTAGTGTTAGGGTTGGGTTTCAGGTTAGGGTTGGGGTTGGGGTAGGGGTTAGGGTTTGGTTTGGGTTGGGGATGAAGTTAGGGTTAGGGTTGGGTTGGGGTTAGGGTTAGGGCATCCTCCACTCTGAGCCTCACACATTATGTAGAAGTTCACCATGGCTATAGATGAAGCTTGGGCAACTTATGGTCTCTCTCTGACTGGTTGGGGCTTGTTTCTTTTCTCTGCCCAGCAGCCACAAAGGAAAAGCTTACTTGCCTTCACTCCTCCAACCCCACCTCCTCTCCAGACTGCTCCTTTGTATTAGGGGCTGTGTCTCAGACTCCATTGACAGCACCTCCTCCAGCTCTGCCTCCCTAGAGATCTCAGCTCAAAAGTGGTCCCTATAGGGAAGTCCCCTGTGTCTCTCAAGGCTCACTGCATTCCACAGCCCTCAAACAAAGAAGTTTGGGTTGGGCATTTCAAGATTGCGCTATTGACTTTTTGAGAAATCTGAACCTTGCTACAGCTATGCAGAAACATGCGTTGCCTCTGACACCTCACATAAGATAAAGTTTCTTAGCCTTCAAGTTGGTGATCTGTCATTTCTTTGTACTTTTATAAAAGATGAAGCTAATACTCTATTTTTTTATTATTTTTGCTAGGTTTCAGGAAGGGGAATAAATTATAAATCCCTTCACTCTCTTGTCTTTTACCATAATTCCCTTAGATTGATTCTCATTTCCTTTCAGAAGTACTCCATCCTGGAAGATCATTAAGCTATTTGGTATTTTGAGTGCTAAATGGCTTTAAAGATTTTGCTGCGAGGTCTTCTACTGGAGCCATGGACTGCTTTAGCCCACTCGGAAGCTTACCACTTATACTGAAATTTAAAGTAGTCTTTTTTCATAGGAGCTAAACAAGTGGAAATTAACGATGTGTGGCTGAGATAACGGTCTCGCTCTTCCTCAGCCTCCAAGTACTTCTGCGATGCTACACTAGTCGCAGCAATGACTAAAAGGCATTCACAAAATGGGCTGAGCTGAAACACAACTATGTAAATATCCTGTTGGAAATGGCTCCAAATTTAGCAGGTTTTCAGGAGTTAAGATGCTTTCATTAAATTTTGTATGTCAGGGCACTGGCAAAGCTATTAGAAAGCATTCTCAAGGGATCAGCACACCTTGAAAGCTTGCATTTCAAGTTCATACCCTCAAGCATAACAAGAAGGAGAGAAGAAAGAAGGTAAACACAACAAGCATTGAGAGGGGAAGAGGTGGAAAGAAGAAATGCAGGAAGACAGGGCAAGGGAGTACTGAGGGCTGGCAGGTAGCCCACAGGAGCATCAGCCCCATAGACTGTGAACCTGATGTGTGACTTCTAAATGCTGATTCAGTGTGCTATGAGAACACATGGCCCTTTACTTGTATTACTCTATGTCTCTCCCATCTCTTTCACCCTTGTACCAAGGACCTAGCCCTGGGTCTGGTGGGATTTTAATCATCACAGTGGTTCAGAGCAAGGCATGAGATTCTTCCTGACATACCTGGGGCTACTGAAGGCTGAGGACATAGCAATAGGGTTAATAATAATGAGCTTATGAAAGAGATGGAGAGACTAAGAGCACTGCTGAGAGACAGCAGCAACTGAGAAGTCCAAGTGTGGGCATCTGCCTTGGAATCCTGGGGGCCACCCCTAGAAGTTCTGATTTACTAGGTCAGGTAATAGATAGGGGACTTACATTTTTACAAAACTCCCTAACCAATTCTTATGTCTGCTAACATCATGGCTAATCATATGACCCATGACTCTTGTATCATGTTCAGTTATCTGGGAAGACACGGTTCCAAATATGGCAGAGGCCCCTCCAAGGAGCTGTCAGCTGCTCTTTAGCTGCCAATGGTCAGTGTTAAGAGCTGACGGGACACTCTTCTGTCATCCCTAGCAAGGACCATGTTTACCCCACAACCAACAACCACTGAGTTCACATTTTAATAGTCCCAGAGTCCATGCCTCATCTCCAAGCCTTAAGTGTCAAATGCCAGGTGTAACCTATGAATTCCCTCAAGCTGCTTTCACATAACTTTTCTTTAGGCTGTCTTCAGGGGATCAGCTGAGAAAGACAAACAGTGAGGCCAGAGGGACAGGGGCCACATTCCCAGGCACTTCTGAAGAACAGCAGAAGCCCATCATTCCATGTACGAGGTACTTCAAAAGATTCGTGGAATGATTCTTATTAGCTTTTAATTCCATTTTATCATGAGCTTTTTGAAGTACCTTTATATCTGAAATTTGAGGCTTGGCTGCCTTGAACAGAGATGAGTTAGAGTTTTTAATTCAAGAGTCCGCTTTTCAGATTGTCAAAATGTCTGGCCCAAACACAAGTCAAAACAAAAGAAAACAAAGCCTCATTCATGTATCCAGCACATGAGTCAGGAGGAAAGACAAACCTTAATAATATGGAGCTTGGGTAAGAGGTTGCAGTCAGCCAGCGTCAGCTCATTCCCATCCAGGAACTTCCTTCCAGAAATGGTGACATCCTCGGTGCTGTAGGTGTCTACTTCATCAGGCAGAGGGCTATTTAAATAGTTGTCCAGCTTCTT